CATAACAGAGCCCCAGAGATCGTTCTATAGTGGGCACCGTCACTACCACTGTTTCAACACCCAACTTATCATTGATAACCTTGGACACTTGAGATATGTTCAAGCCGGGTTTCTTGGTAGTACACACGATGCGACATCTTACAGGCTGATGGCCCGCATTGGACCAGGACAGCCTCTGGACCTACCACTAGGAGCAAAACTTCTAGCGGACAAGGCTTATCCTGATGGTGGACCATTGCTGACGGCCGTAAGAGCAAATCAAATGCATTTGCTGAACCCCAGAGAAAGAAGGCGGGCAAGGCGCYTTAACAAGTGTCTGTCACGATGACGAATCAAGGTGGAGCATGTATTTAAAGAAATAAAAGTGTACAAAGCCATATCACAGTTATGGAGACATCCTAGATGGCTTCTTCCAGTGTGTGGAGCTTGCGTCATTTCTTGCTGAACGTCGAGTACGCTTATTTGAACATTTATAACAAACTAAAAAGGTATTTCTGTGTAAAGCAAATTTCCATGCTAGGTTAGTCCACTCGTTTGCATTTTTTCAGATACAAACGTTGATGCTGAATAAAAAACATAAAGTCTTGTAACACTTGTTGAGTTTTTAATAAATTTAGAACGTTGAGTTCGTTTACATTCCTAGAAATTATGACAAGTTCACAGAAAGTGCAATAAGACTAGCATTTTAAGGTTAAAACCTCTTCACGCAGATTATTTCGGTATAATTTAGCTGGCAGTACGGTACGTAGATCATTAGCATATTAGCAAACTCATTAGAATTTTTAACCCCGGTTGTTGGAAAACGTTCTATTAACTATGATACAGCCGAATACAGCCTGTTGTGTAACACATATCAAAAGATTAATGACTCATAAACGATGAACAAAAAGTTCAAATTATGCAAAAACTATTATCAAAACTTTAATCATTATTCATAATCAATAGTCATATTATGTTATATACTAGATTTTCACGAACGCGCGCTCTGATTTTTATCAGAGTATAGAAACATAGATATGACGTCAAAACCATGTTTTCTATACAAAAGTAAACATAGAAATTACGTCACAGGAATTCGGCTTTTCAATTTCAAGCATTTTCACATTTTAAATTTAAATATTCATTTATTTTTATCAAGAATTGTCTTTCCTCTAAAAAAGGAAAATATGTCGTTTTGAAGCACATAGTGATTGGTACTGCATTTCGATGAGTAAAGTTTCTTTCATTTGTGCTGCGACTATACGATGACCTTATTTCGCTAAACTAGAAGCTTTTTGCTTGACAGTGATGGCGTTAGAGAAGTCAAGAAATAATTTTAAACATTTTTCACAGTTTAACAAGAATGAACAAATCTATTGTAAGAAACTTAATCTTACTTTAGAAACTACCATCGTCAATTTTACGCTAATTTACGGTAATTTTTTTA